CCCTTTTCTGAAGAAGGGTCTAGGCCCGAAACATCAGCCTTCCTGCTCCTCTGATGCTGCTTGGCCTGCTGTATTCATCCAGCTCTACACCTTGTTATCTCAGATGATCCAGCTATCGTTGCCAAATATAAAATAAGATCTGTCAGTATATTAACAAAGCAGTCCTTGTGTTTTGCCTTCCTTAGTGCTATTTGGCCTTGTCCCACACTGTGGTCCAAATGAGTCACTTATGCTTTAACAGATTCACTTTTAGCCAGATTTTTGCAAAAAACTAGTTCTTTGTAACCATTCAAACAGTTTTCCAAGTCATAGAATCCCTATAGTGTGGAAACAGGCCCTTCGGCCCAACAAGTCCACACTGACCCTAGAACATTCCTCTGAGACCCATCCCCCTATAACCCACCTAATCTACACAACCCTGAACACTATGGGCAATTTAGCATGGCCAATCCACCTAGCCTGCACATCTTTGGATTGTGGGAGGAAACCGGAGTACCCAGAGGAAACCCACGCAGACATGGGGAGAATGTGCAAACGCCACACAGATGATCGCCCAAGGGTGGAATCAAACCTGGGTTCCTGGTGCTATGAGGCAGCAGTGCTAACCACTGAGCCACCGTGCCTCCCTGCCACACTGATCCTCTGAGGACCATCCCACTCAAACCTACCTCCACCCAATCCCTGTGACCCTGCATTTCCCATGGCTAATCCACCAAATCTGGACATTTCTGGAGACTACGGGCAAATTAGCATGGCCAACCCATTAGGCCTGCACATCTTTGGACTGTGGGAAGAAATGGGAGTGCCCGGAGGAAACCCACGCAGACACAGGGAGAATGTGCAAACTCCACACAGACAGTCACCCAAGGCAGGAATCGAACGTGTATCCTTGGCACTGTGCAGCAACAGTGCTAAACACTGGGCCACCATGCCATCCCAAAATCAGCAATCCAATCAGACTTTCTTTCAATGCAGGAGGAGGAGTACATGAAGGAAAGAATATTTATAAGATGTCCTTAACAACCTCTGGACCTCTTGATGCAGTATTCATCTAATCAAGTGTTTTTCAATAGTGGTCACTGTTGTAATGAACAAAATGCATTAGCTTATCACAGCAGTGACACATGCTACATGGTAATTCCTAGAACACCAATCTTAAGCGCCAGATATGCACACAGTATTTTGACTGAAGGATCAAATGAGAAAAAGAACAAGAATTGAAATAGATCATATAACGCCTTGAGCCTGCTGTTTGCTCTTTCCCACCTTTTGCTCCTATACCTGAATCTCTGAGGAAATAATAATGTCTATCCCAGTCTTAAATATATTCAGCAATGGGATGTCCACAGCCCTCTGGGGTAGAGAGTTCCAAAGATTTGCAATTCTAGAGTTGAGAAAATTCTTCTCATTTCCTAAGTCCTCAGCCCCTTATCTTGAAGGCCCCACGTTCAAGATTCCCCATCCACTCTCTCCCCTGTCAGGTCAACCACATTGCTGTCTGTTCAGGTTAGGGTGGAATGGCCTTGTTAAATTGCCCATAGTGTCCAGGGATGAGCAGGCTAGGTGGATTAGCTACGAGAAATGCAGGGTTACAGGGATAGGTTGGGTCTGGGTGGAATGCTCTTTAGAGGGTCAGTGTGGATTCGATGGGCCTAATGGCCTGCTTTCATGCTGTAGGGGATTCTGTAATTCTCTTATGAAGTTGAAATGTGCAGTTAGCTATTGCTCACTTAACCAGGGTTTTTTTTAGCATTCTTGGAGTTTTGGACTTGCCAGCTGGACCAATGTTGCGACATTTCCAGTTGTCCTTAATACGAAGTTGGTATCTTCTTCTTGATCTGCTGCAGTTTGTGTGGTGAATGAACGAATGATTGATTTATTGTCACGTATATCTTGAAGATAAAGTGAAAAGTGTTTTGTCGCCACAATCCAACGCCATTTTGAGTTACAAGAAGGATAATAAGAAATTACTTACATAAAAGTTCATCTTCTGTTGAAATTAGAGTCTCAAGCAAGGCTTCAGGGCTTTGCTAAGGTCTCTGTTAAGGTGTTCCGGTCCTCAAGGAGCCCCATTCCGGGAACAGCAATGATGACACCAGTGACCCATAAGACCATAAGACATAGGAGCAGAAATTAGGCCATTTGGCCCATCGAGTCTGCTCCGCCGTTCAATCATGGCTGATAAGTTCCTCAACCCCATTCTCCCGCTTTCTCCCCGTAACCCTTGATCCCCTTGATAATCAAGAACCTATCTATCTCTGTCTTAAATGTACCCAATGACCTGACCTCCACAGACTTCTGTGGCAGTGAATTCCATAGATTCACCACTCTCTGGCTGAAGAAGTTTCTCCTTATCTCCATTCTAAAAGGTCTTCCCTTTACTCTAAGGCCGTGCCCTCTGGTCCTAGACTCTCCTACCAATGGAAGCATCTTCCCAACATCCACTCTGTCCAGGCCATTCGGTATTCTTTAAGTTTCAATTAGATGCCCCCTCATCCTTCTAAACTCCATACAGTATAGACCCAGAGTCCTCAAACATTCCTTATATGTTAAGCTTTCCATTCGTGGGACCATTCTCGTGAACCTCCTCCGAACCCGCTCCAGGGCCAGTACATCCTTCCTGAGATATGGGGCCCAAAACTGCGCACACTACTCCAAATGTGGCCTGACCAGAGCCTTTTAAAGCCTCAGTAGTACATCCCTGCTTTTATATTCAAGTCTTCTCAAAACAAATGCCAACATTGCATTTGCCTTCCTGATTACTGACTCAGCCTGCAAGTTTACCTTGAGAGAATCCTGGACTAGAACTCCCAACTCTTTTTGCACTTCAGACTTCTGAATTTTCTCTCCATTTAGAAAATAGTCCATGCTTTTATTCTTCTTAGCAAAGGGCATGACCTCACGCTTTCCCACGTTGTACTCCATCTGCCACTTCTTTGCCCAATCTCCTAACATGTCCAAATCCCTCTGGAGCCTCCCCTCCTCCTCAATACTACCAGTCCCTCCACCTATCTTCGTACCATCTGCAAACTTAGCCAGAATGCCCACAGTTCCTTCATCTA